TTGTTGTTGTTCTCTTTAAAAAAAATATTTTTCTTGAGAATTTCATACAATGTGTTTTGATATTATTCATCCCCACTACTCCCCCCTAACTCCTCCCAGATCCACCCCACCCCCCTACTCCCCAAGTTCCTGCCTTCCTTTTTTGGGGTTATTTTTTAAATTAATTAAATATGTATGAGTGTTATGCCTGCATATATGTAATGTACAATGCCCATGGAGACCAGAAGAAGGCATCAGATTCCCTGGATCTTGAATTACAGATGCTTGTTAGCTGCCATGCAGGTGCTGGGATTTGAACCTGGGTCTTCTGCAAGAGCAGCCAGTGCTCTTAACTGCTGAGGCATCTCTCCAGTCTGGTTGTTTGTTTTTAAAATAACCAGTTTGTACTGCCCATATAATCATGGATGTGGGGCTACCCACTGTAGCATGGTCAACCTTCTACAATCACTTCCTTAAAGAAAGCTGACTCTCCCTCTCTCAGATGCCACCAACTGTCAATAGCACCTCAGTTAGGAGTATGGACTCATGAACCCCTTCCCATTCCATGCTAGAATGTTGACTGGTTTGAACTTATGTAGGTATTGTGTAGGCAACAACAGGTGCTGTGAGTTTATGAGTACAGTGGCCCTATCCCATCCAGAACACATTCTTTTGCTTCGGTACCCTGCCCCCACAACCATTGGTTCTTAAAATCTTTCTGCTCCCTCTCTCTCAATGGTCCCCAAGCCTTGGGGAGTGGGTATGACATAGATGTCCCATTTGTGAGGGCATCTTAATTCATTATCCAAGTTACTATAGTTGCTTTCAAAGTGGTCTTTTAGATTCTGATATCTCCTCTTTCAACTAATTCTGTATGCTACTGCCAAATTAATCAGCTGGCTAGTTAATTAATGTTGTCTCTTTATTAATATAAGTTGAAGTGACCAACTCAAAATAGGGAAATTTCTCTTCTCTCTGAATTTCTCTAAAAATTACCCCGTGTCATTTATCAACACTTAACAATTTAATTTGCTTATTATAAACTTTATCCTATCTCTTCTGTTCCATGTTAACTTTGAGAGCAGGGCTGTTGTCTATGGTCCAAAGTCTCTAAGCACCTCAGAGTTGTATGGTTCATCCTTGTGGCTCAATGAAATTGCTGCTGCTGATAGAAATACCTTCCCATGGAGGGTGAAGGTCTGTGATCAGTGAGCTGAGAACTTTTGAAGTTGGTATTGTATTGGGGTATATTAGAATCAGGAAAAAGACTTCTGTTCCCTTGGCTGTAGAGGCCTTTATGGTCCTAGGTCCACATAGGAGAGCAGGTAGGGCCAGAAGACTGGGAAAGAGATGTGAATGATGGAGGAAAAGATCATCAGATTGTTAACCATTTTTGGTTTTATCCATTTGTGTGTGTGTTTGTGTGTGTGTGCATGTTTTGCACGTGTGTGGGTGTACATGTGTGCATGTGATGCAATGTGTGCATGTGGAAGCTCAAGGTTGATATTGGGAACCATCCTCCATTGCTTTTCCACCTTATTCATTGAGGCAGGATCTCTCAGTCAAACCCAGAGCTAGTCTTGATAGCCAACTTGCTCTGGAGATCTCTGTCTCCAGCTTCAGAGGCTGGAAATACAGGCGGACCACCATGCCCACCTGGCATTTACATGGGTTTCTCAAGATCTCAACTCGGGTCCTCATGTTTGGGCAGCAAGTGTTTAACCTTGGAGCCATCTATCCAGCCCTTTTGATCACTTTAGCCTGTTGAAAAATCATCTCATCACCACAAGCAAAATCAATAAGCAAAATTTAAAATGCCTTTCCCTTTGCTGCATCCCTAAAGTTGTATTCATATTCAAAGAATATGAATTTATTTATTCATTTATTTAATCAATATGATTTATTTATTCAAATAAATCTCATGTGATTTTCAAATCTCAAGGCATTTGAAACCTACTTGTTTGAAGGTAGCTGTAAAAAGTAACAACCAAAATAAAGTCTGATGTCTCTTTAAAAAATATTTTATTTTTGTCTATTTTGTGTTTGAGTGTATTGCTTGCATGTATGTAGGTGCACCATGTCATGCAAGCCTGAGGAGGTCAGAGGAAGGCATGGGGTTCCTTCCTATAGCTGTAGTTATTGAAGGTTGTTGGCTGTCATGTGGGTGCTGGAAACTGAACCAGGGTCTTCTGCAAGATCAACCAGTGCTCTTAACTGCTGACCCATAATGATTATCTTTTTTAAAAAAATATTTATTTATATGTGTATGAGTGTCTTTCCTACATGTATGTAAGTGCGCCTTTATCACGCAATGCCTATGGAGGCCAGATGAGGGTGTCAGGTCCCCTGTAACTGGAGTTATGAACAGTTGTTAGCTGTCATGTGGATGCTGGGAACTGAACCCAGGTCCCCTGGAAAAACAGCAGGTACTCTTAACCTGGGAGTCATCTCTCCAGCCTGTTAATGTCTCCTTTTTGACATTTTTGTCTCCTAAGCTGGAAAAACACTTTATACCAGGATTTCTGGCACTTCTCTGATTTGTTGATCTATTTGCTTTCTTTCTTGCTTGGTCCACCATCTCCGCAAACATGAGAAGGAGCAGCACTGACTATTCATAGTTCGGGAGTCTGGAACTTTATAATCACAAACTGAACCTTGACAAACAGAAAGTTCTGGAAATCAAATTTAACTATCATAGGATCTTTTTGTTGGGTTGAATTACCTGTCATCTGGGAACCCCACTGCAGATTTTGAAAGTTTTGATACTCATCTAGGAAATTTACATGCCTATGTCTCCCTTGCAGATAGATTTCAAATGGGAAGCATTTAATTATCTTAGTCCCACCTTTTAATCACTGCTGTAAAAAAAAAAATCGCCCCCCCCTTTTCTTTTACTGTGACTAAATTAAAGCAATAGATGCAATATGCTTTAAGCAAATATACTATAGGAAGCATTTAATTATCTTAGTCCCACCTTTTAATCACTGCTGTAAAAAAAAAATCGCCCCCCCCTTTTCTTTTACTGTGACTAAATTAAAGCAATAGATGCAATCTGCTTTAAGCAAATATACTATACACCGCTAAGTGAATACTTAGCCTCAGCTATTTTCCATGAGATTCCTGAAGCATTTCTAACTGAAAGTTAACAAGCTCCTGTACAGCACACACTCAGAGCTCTAGGAAGGGCACATGATGCTGCATGTAGACACACAGGCTTTTTACTCTAATGGGAAGAGAGGGTGACTGTGAAGCTGTGTGGTGTAATTTTTTTAATTGCTCAAGTGTCATAGTTTGTTATATTTATTGAAAAATGTAAATGCCACATTTAACAGAATAGCAGTGTCTTTGTTTCTGTCTGATGACTTAATCTTGTTAATCATGATAATATATACTAGCTGGAATTGAGAATATTTAATAAAATACTAGAATAATTTTGTTGTGCTTACATTTCAGAGGAATTAATAAAAGCATCTCCATCTGCAACACTTAAAACTTTATTGACTTTAAATTTGTATGGTGCCGTGAGGATGATACATGAGAATGCGTGTACTTCTGCAGGCCTATTACTCATTCAGCACCTCGTGGGCGGCCAGTGACTGGACTGTAACTTACTGAAGAGGAGGGAAGGATTTTTCATTTGTCTGGGCTTTCCATCATGGAATCACCTTTGTGTATATTTCTCAGTTAAGCTTTGCAGTCCTCAGATAGCTCACCCCCATTTTATTGCTAAGGTAACTTTGGCTGGGAGATATTATTCTGCTGGAAATCAGCAAAACAGAGCTGAGGCCACCTGCTCCTCACCAAATATATATATTATAATATATTATATTATTATATATTGATATATTATATATTAATTATATATAATTATACATAGAGAGAGATAGAGGAAGAAAGGATTCTGTGGTTTGAAACGTCTGTTCAAAGGGCTCTCAGAGAATTGGTAAAAACACTACTAGTTCCATTTCATTTTAAAGCTGGGAACGGTTGTTTGAGCTAAATCTCCCTCTGATTTTCCTCCACAGCTAAGCTTGTAAATGGAGACCCAGAAGTCTCCTACTCCAACACACCTGTGCACACAACTCTGCACCGATAAGACACTTCCTAAGTCAGAGCTGAGAGCTAAAATATGATTATTCATAAAAAGGATGCAAAAGAAACAGGTGGATTCAGGGTACTGAAGTTGAAATCTTAGTAGTTTGGAGTTTTGGGTTTTTTTTTTTCTTTTTCCCAGAAAACAATCCACAACTAGGAATGAAAGTTCATCAAGAAATTCTGAGGGATCTAATTAAAGAACTAATACTGATTAAAAAGGTTAAAAGATAACAAGGAAGGGAGGGGGAGGAAGAGAGGAGAGAGAAGAGAGAGGGGCCCCAAGGAAGGGGAGAGACAGAAGCCACCTGGCAACCCCGAAAATCCTAAATCCACGTTGTCTTCCTAGGCAAAGTTCCCGGGGCTAACCCTCGCCTTCGCCTGTGGAGAGTGGGACGTCTGCAAGCTCCTCACCAGAGGGAAACTACCAGAGTCCTCTCAGCACAGGACAATGTGGCTTCTTCATCCAGCCCTCCCTCCGGGTTCAGACATCCGTAAGGCGCTCTAGGGAGGCCAGCGCGAAGCTTCCCGGGGGGCCTCGGACTGGGAGAAAAGGGTAAGCAGGTGTTTCCCCCACGGTGTGCTCCTCTACTCAGACCTGGTACCCACGTTGGACAAAGTTGGGCGTCCGCCTGCCTGCTCAGCCAACACCGGCTGGAGGAAGGCAAAAAGACCGCAACACGCGGGGAAGTGGGCTGCGCGGGAGCATCCCAGATGCGTGGCTCGGGAGAGCCGGGAGGAGCAAGCGCCGATCCTCCGACGTCCGCGAGGACCCGGGCCGTCTGCGCCCCTGTTCCGCCCCGGTGCCAGGCCGGGGGGCGGCGCCTACTCTAGGTAATCATTGCCCGTGGGGCGGCGGGAGCGGGGGTGGGCGCCGCGGGGGGCGGGCGGCGGCGGGCATAAAGGGGCGAGGCGCGGTGCCCGCCCCGCTCCCGCGCAGCATGCCAGCCCGAGCCCCTCCGCGCCGTCCGCGGCTGCCCCTGCGACTGCTGCTGCTGCTGGTTCTGCGCTCCGGCTGCCTGCGCGCTGAGCCCGGGGACGGCGTGCAGACCTGGGCCCGCTTCGCGCGCCCTCCCGCCCCCGAGGCTGCGGGCCTCCTCCATGATACTTTCCCCGACGGCTTCCTCTGGGCGGTGGGCAGCGCCGCCTACCAGACCGAGGGCGGCTGGCGGCAGCACGGCAAGGGCGCGTCCATCTGGGACACGTTCACCCATCACTCCAGAGCCAGCCCGGGTGACTCCCGGACCGCCAGCTCGCCTTTGGGCGCCCCGTCGCCTCCGCTGCCCGCCACTGGAGACGTGGCCAGCGACAGTTACAACAACGTCTTCCGCGACACGGAGGGGCTGCGTGAGCTCGGGGTCACCCACTACCGCTTCTCCATCTCGTGGTCGCGGGTGCTCCCCAATGGCAGCGCGGGTGCCCCCAACCGCGAGGGGCTGCGCTACTACCGACGCCTGCTGGAGCGGCTGCGGGAGCTGGGCGTGCAGCCGGTGGTCACGTTGTACCACTGGGACCTGCCCCAGCATCTGCAGGACACTTACGGCGGCTGGGCCAACCGCGCCCTGGCCGACCACTTCAGGGATTACGCGGAGCTCTGCTTCCGCCACTTCGGAGGCCAGGTCAAGTACTGGATCACCATTGACAACCCCTACGTGGTGGCCTGGCACGGCTATGCCACCGGGCGCCTGGCCCCCGGCGTCCGGGGCAGCTCGCGGCTCGGGTACCTGGTTGCGCACAACCTCCTTCTGGTGAGTGCGAGGGGCCAGGCAGAGGGCCACCTTGAGGGAGAGGGGGCCTCCTACGTGCCAGGGGCACTCTCAGGAAGCCTCCTCACTTGAATCCCTTTGGGAGCCACACCTCACAAGGGAACTGAGTAGCTCTGGCTCTCCTTAGGAGGTCTAAGTGGAGTTAGAAACCAGAGGCAAATCCCGTGGTGAATCAGGGCCTCTAGAAAGGTAAACTGGAATCCTTTCTCTAGTAAGGAAAGGGATCCCCTATTCCCTGGGTGTTGAGGAATACCTAAAGGTAATGGGGGGGGGGCGGATTCATTAGAGGTAGCTGCAGGGACAGAATAAAGAAAGTGGCTGAAATCAACAAGTGTATTAGCAAATGGTCCAGATCCGGCTTTGCTCTTTGCAAGTGCTCAGTGTTAATCCAATAAAACCTGTCTTGCTTGTAGCACAAGGTTACCTAGCATCAAGTGTGAAGGCGTCAAAACCTAGTCTCTGGTTGGGCTGGATTTAAACTGGTGCTAGAGATCCTTTCTGCGGCAGGGTAGGGAACTGCATCCACCAACAGTAATCACCAGGGGTTCACTTTACACAAAGCTGGCATGAAAATTCAGAACGTACTTCAGGGTGATATGACTTGTGACTTTGCAACATCTGTTTCCACAGAGCTGTTTCTAGTTGAAACAATTCCTTCTTGATGAAATAATTACCTTGACAAAAGTAATTTTAACACTTATGTACAAAAGGTACATTTTGACAACAGGAAATATTGCCTTGTCCTAATGAAATTGCCTCAGTCATTCCTTCCTCCTATTTCCTTGCTTTATCTAGTGTTCGAATCTCCACTACAATGGGGGGGAGTGTAATTTATAAGGTCAACTGTGTCTACACCAGTACAGGCTTTGTATCATGATAAAATATTTTTAATATATATATTTTTATTTTATGTGTATGAGTGTAATGCCTGCACGTAGGTAGGTGCACCCATGTTGTGCAGTGCCCTCGGAGATCAGTAGAGGTCCTCGGATCCCCTGGAACTGGAGTTACAGATGATTGTTAGCCACCACATAAGAATTGAACCCAGGTCCTCCGCAACAGCAGGCAGTGCTCTTAACCCCTGAGCCATCTCTCCAGCGCCATGATAAAATATTTTATATACACATAAACATTTAAACACATATGATTATTCCACTTTGGGGACCCTCCTTTTATTGACCTATAGATCTACTGGAAGACCTACTTTAAAGTATGGATTCAAGCCACGTGTTATGAACACATTCAAGATGAAGACTACTTCTAAAACACTTTTACCAGACAGTTGCTTTAACCAGCTAAGCTATGGAGCCAGGCCTGTTCTAAACACTTTTAATTAAAACCACAGATAATTGAGGCAGAACAGCACCGACCTATTGAGTTGACTTCGTGCTCTGAGCTGCTGGTAATGCAATAATAGCTAAATTAGATTGCATGTCAACGTCACAAAACTGGATTTGCTTGTGATCTTAGTGATTTCATATTGGTGTGTATCTTTTCATATTGGTACTTGATATATCAATCTGCTAATCCTTTTAAGGGACCAGCAAGCCCTGAACACTGCCAGTTGATGGCTAGAAAAACTATGAAAAAACTGTGACATCTTTTGAAGAAAATACAGGCAAATTATCAGTTTCTATTAGAAACAGATTAGTGGGCCAGCTAGAGGACCACTCCTTAAAATTTGAATAGCAAGTTCTATTTTTAGAGTGCATATAATAAACTGTATATATATAGTCAATTGTTATTCTAGTAATTAACAATCATTTATAATATAAGAAATTGTATGAACTCTGATATTTTAAATAATCAACAGGTTTGTCTTGTGGTTAACTTTTCAGTTATGTTTTTGAGGAATTACACAAAAATGTTGCCAAACACTAACCATCCTTTGTAGAAATGCGATGGACTTTGTAGCCATAAGAAATTAGTAACTGGTAGGCACGTGGCTTGGTTCTGCTCATGTTACAAACAAAACGCAGCCACTGTAAAATATTAATTTTGCTTTTAAGTTCTTTTGGGTTTAGAATTTGGTCATATGGAATCTTATTTAGAAGTGAGCTATCAAATCAATTTTGTTGTGAGATTTCTTTCATTGTGTTTTCAGTGCTGTTCTTGGTGTTTGTGTTATGAGGAATAGGAAAGTTTTTACTTTATTTGAAAAAGTAAAAAAGGGGAGATTTTGGTAATGGGGACTTTCGGTTTAGATACTAGTGTTTTGTGAGAGTTAGGGGTTATCGAGTCCTTAGCATATTAATTTGCATGTCAGAATGGAATGCTGGTGAAGGACAGAGTAAACCAGCATGTCCCACTTGTGGCTCTACTAGTTTTTAGGTGAGCCAAGGACACTCCAGGGAGATTGGACTGCTGAGATCCCAGAGATCCCAGAATCACTCAGTGTTCAATGACCTGGAGGCCAAGAGTCTGGGGATACTGGAGGACAAGTCAAGTAATTGAGGCCCTGTTCACAAGGAGGACTCTGTGATATTGTGTGTGTGTGTGTGTGTGTGTGTGTGTGTGTGTGTTCCTTCCTGGGGCTAGCATGAACCTTGACCATGGTGTGGGGGTTTGGTGGGGGGAGGATGGCAGAAGGTGTTCCTTACAGAGCACAGGACCTGGCTGCTTTGTTCATTTGATTAAGAGGATGTGACTTTCTCTCTCTGGTTGGTGGCCTCAGAAAGCCTGCAGTTGGGGAGTTTAACCTCTGAGTTTTTGTTCTGCCCATGCATTTCTGAAAGGACCAGAACCAAGTTAAAGGTACATGTATTTCTAGTCTTCCTCACCCCAAGGAGATTCTTGCAAGTGTGGGTTTCAAAGCTCACATCTTGGCTGACTTGCCACGCACTGCTGCTAAGCCACAGCGTCCTCTCCACAGCATCCTCTCAACACAGTTCCTCAGTATGGCTTCCAGATCCCCGCCCTCTCCTGCTTCTGGGCTTGGTGTCCTGGCGATTCCTTCAGTCTGAAAGGGTGGAGGGTCCAGTGCTCTGTCCCTGGATCAGCCAGATTCTGAGCCTCAGGCCTTGACTTCTCTGAGCTCCAGACTCAGTTAGCCTTGTCCACTTAGCTAATAGGCAAGTCACATGTAACATAACCAAGACTAAACTCCTGTTTTCCCATCTGTTCTGTGACACTTTGCTCTTCTAGTTAATCAGGTCCCAATTCTAACTTTTCCCATCACCCTCCCTTTCTCCTCCCTTCCTCCCTCATTCTTTGCCCCTCTCTTTCCTTGCACTGAGGATAGCACCCAGGGCCTTGTACACTCTAGGCAAGCACTCAGCTATGCTATGACTGAGGCCCAGGCCACCCTTGAGTTTTGTCTCAGTAATGCCCTGGTTTAATCCCTTGCTTCCTGCAATGCGCCCTGATAGATGTATTCTGAATGAGCATCATTGTGTGTAAACGATGCAGATTCTTGATTTTTGGAATCCCACCTATACTTTAAGAACCAGTTTGCACACTCTTGGACTCATACTTAACTGTCATCACTTCCTTCCACGGAATTCCATGATAATTTGCTTCACTCTGAGGCCTCTTGTCACATTCTGTTTAATCCTCTCTCTCTCTCTCCCTCCCTCTCTCTCTCTCTCTCTCTCTCTCTCTCTCTCTCTCCTTCCCTCCCTCCCTCTCCCCCCCCTTCTCTCCCTTCCTCCCACTAGTTGGGAAATTTCTTAAGCAAGGAAGCCTTGTTCCCTTCACTTGTTTCTTTTAAAATGGCAATCCAGGGCTGGAGAGATGGCTCAGCTGTGAAGAGCACTCACTGCTATTTCAGAGGACTTAGGTTCAGTTCCCAGAACTCACATAATGGCTCATAACTGCATGTAACTGAAGTTCCAGGGGATCTGACCCCCTCTTCTGGCCTCTGCAGGCTCCTGTATGCATGTGGTACACATAAACTCATGCAGGCTCACACACACATAAATTAAAAATATATAAAGCCTTTTTAAAGAATTGAAAAAAGAAAATGGCAGCTGGTCTCAGAGGTCGTCTTCCAGCTATTCCATGACCTGGCTTTGCCTTTGTAACCTCACACTTGAGGGATCTTTTCCTCCTGTCAATCTACCTAACCAGTTTCTGATGGACTGGGGAATAACAAATTCTAATCAGATACAAAACTGAGTGGGCATAAGAGTGTAGAAGCTGACATTTGCAGTGAGCGGTTAAGGGTCATTGAAAAATTTATGGCTATCGTACCACTTCCAGTTAAAAACTATCAGAAGTCACCCTACAGAATTATGTTTTCAGAAAGTGGGTAAGGGGGTAAACTCTTTGGGCCAACTTGAGTGTATATTGAAAAAGACTGTATTATCTGGTTGAATTTTCATTTCCCAAGCAATTTATCCGTGCACATTCAAATAACGCATAATATGCACATTTGAGAAGCACTTCATGAATTTTTCTCTTATTAAAATATATTTGGTACATGGCTGGAATAATCAACTGGGTTGAAGGTTAATGTATTTTATAGAACATGACTGAATTCAATGTGCATTTAATAAGAAACAGTTAAAATATCTCTCAAAGCACTTGACTTACTGCTCTTTGCATACCTGACTGAACACAATGATCTCTGAAGGTTAAAGTCAAGTCCAAGGAAAAAAATTTACATTGGGAAAGAATTAGGAAAATAATTTCTCAGTCATAGCAGTTTTTTTTTTAATGTCAATTGCTTTGAGATAAAGAAAAAGAGGAAATGTAAACTGCTCAGTACTTAACTAATGTTAGTGGACGTTTCCTAAGTGCAAAATGAGTGCACACAACTGTGTTAGTTGACTGTGAAGTCAGCCCTGGCTTCTGTCCATCAAAGCCACTGAGTTAACTCATATTTTCAAAAGATAGCATTGCTCTGTACCATAATTTATCAGAATTAATTTGTGGAAAACAGTGCTTTATTTTATCAACTTATATTTTTAACATTTTTGTTTATTTTTATGTGTGTGAGTGCTTTGCCTGCATGTAAGTAAGCTCACTGTATGTGATGCCCA